AGGGAAACAGAGGGACAATGATCGGATGGTGATCAGCCTTTCCGGTGGGTTTGCTGGCACACATACCCAATTTTCGTGTGAGTGCATGGCTATGAGTGTGTGTGTTTGGCAGAGCATTAATCAGGTGACTTTGTCTTTTGTGTTAGTGATTTAAAAAGATTGATAGGTTGTTTAAACAATTTTGTCTTAGCTGTGGATGTCAGCCCATTGTTGACCTGTACTTTTAATCTGTGCTTGCAAAATCCTAGATAGTTTGTGTCTATGTGCATATACAGTATGTGCATGTTTACGCATGTCTGTCTGTGTGTGTGTTTCTTCTGCCCTTCTGCGCTGTGCTGAGCAGCACAGTATTAAACTGGCCAGAGTAAAGAGTGGAAGGATGGATTATGTAAGAACTTGGCAGGCTGCCAGTCTGCCTCTGTGTGTGTGTGTGTGTGTGTGTGTGTGTGTGTGTGTGTGTGTGTGTTCCTGTTGAATCTATCAGCAAGTCTATCTAGAAACGGCTAACAGGTAGCCAGCAGCCAGTGTTGGGATAAATAATGTTCACATATTGAAGCCATTTACTCTGCCCTGGCTTCTATTACTCAGTCTCACTTCACAGGAGGAGCGTATAAAAGTTTAATCATCCTCAGTCGCATGTGCACATACACCACTACATTCTTTCTAATTGGTTTGTAATTGGTTTTGATCACCAGCAGTGATAAATAATTTACAACAGCACTTTCTTGATTGGTTATTGTTTTATTATTTTTCAGAAAAGGACTTATCTTAGTGAACTTAAACTTATACTCAATGTATCTTTCTGTCATCAGGGTATCTTTGACCGAATCGATCTGCATAAAATCTTGGTTAAAGTCTGTCACAGAGCAAGGAGGAACTGATCAGCTCTTGCTGCAACCGAGCAGGCATCTAGTAATCTTTGAAGTAATGGTTGTTTTAGCCATAAAATATCCAGACTTAATTTTGAAAGGAAATTCTTAATAGCAACCGTAAAATAAAGCTGTGGCAACAAAGGAAATGTAACAAGATGTCAAGTGCATTTGATTCCAGTTAGGAGCTGGTCTCTGACCAGCTGCCAGCTAAACGGATCACTGCACCGCCCACTCTCTTCTTGACAGGGCCACTTGCTGATTCGTTTGTTTGGATCTTGACATGAAAGCTTCCCTTGGAGAGAAGACATAAAAAGTAAAAAGCCAGATCATTTTTACCATAGGTGGATATTGTAGAAATAGATACATCTATCATTAAAAAGCTGAAGAAGTGACATTTTTATGACCTTAACCTTGTTTGGTCAGTCATTGTGATTACAGCGGTACTGGCTAAATTTGATAAAAGCAGTCCACATTAATCCCACAGTGTCATCCATACCTGCTCTGACCTTCAAAACAAACATGCTCTCTCTCTGTCTCTCTCTCTCTCTCTCTCCTTCACACATGCACAATTCGCTTACACATGGCTGCTGTTAACCTGTTCAGCAAACATGGAAAATAAAAACTTTTACAACTCAGAGTATGGAAACTTTTACACAAAAAAACTTCCCATACATGTAAAAACTGTTTTCATTGTGCGATTAGATAAAGACTTCCGGATCATAATTGCAATACTCACCTGAGCTCCTCCATTGATTTTGTTTTCCAGGAGGCAGTGTTCATGGGCAACGGGGAGCAGTACATCTGGAAGCCTCCAGAGGAAGATGAAATTATCACCTTACACCCACCTCCACTCCACGGAGAGAACGGACAGGGGCACCCATCGCCCCCAACTGCAAAGGAGGTAGTATATGTATGTGTGTGTGTGTGTGTGTGTGTGTGTGTGTGTGATGGTAGCTGGAAGGAGGGGCCACTCCACAGGGGACTGGAAGGACTACATGCAGACGGATAGACGGGCATGTCTCTGATTTGTGGCTGCTGTGTTTACCGATTGGGGCGCCTGTTTGATTGGGCACGCCGTCATAACACTACTGCCCTGTGACCTGCCTGTCATGCAAGGTTTCTGCATACAGCCAGAGGTTACGTTTCACAGATCCAGCACGCCCAACCCCCTGCCTGAACCTTGACCCCAATCTCCCAACCCCCCTACTCATCTATCTGTCTCGCACAACTCACCAGATGAATCGAACACAAGTATCACCTGCTGCCGAATAATTGAGTATCACTTTGCATTCATAGACATGTTTGTTAAAGGTTAGCTTACGCAGACAGAATGTGATCAGCTGTCACTGGGATGGAGGCTACAAACTGACCTATATATATATATATATATATATGGCAGAGAGTATGTCTGGTGGCCCGAGGAAGAGGTCTGCACATACCCCACCACATGTGCTTCCACTCTCCACCCCAACTCCTTCACTCTCTGTCTTCCTTTCTTCGCTCTCAGCCAGACACAGTACATACATACTGAGACTTACAAGCGGTTGGGTAACTTTTGTCAAACCTGAGTAAATGGAGGTGTGTCCCTAAAATAGACCACTATCTATTATTAGTGTTTGACTGAACTTCTCTTTTTTCATTGTCATCTTCATCAGCTCAGGGCAGTCTTTTTTTCCATGTCAGTAACTTTAAGTCTAATTTTGAGGCAGAAACAAAACTTCACGCAGCTTGTGATTAACGTATAGGTGTGTTGTTCACAGGATGTAATAAAAGATAATCTAGATGGACAAAAAAATGAATGGATAGTTTTATTTATTCTGGGGCGTGTAAAACAACAGTCCTGACAAGTTTGAATCTGTAAATTTCTTGTCTCAGTTCTCAGCCAACGAGTTTGGATCCTGTATATGGAGATTATAGGGTTAAGTCCCTGCTGTTTGACTCATGAGTTAAACTGCTCCTCTGCAAATCAGACTTGATACACAGAGCAGCTGGCCTTGACTGCATTCTGCAATCTCTCTCTCTTTATTTATTTTTCTTTCTTTAAAACTTACAATCTTCCTTGATTTTTTTTTTAGGGGGGGGGGTTGCTTTTCCAAGCCTTTTTGTCTCCCTTAGTTGCTGTGTTTTTCCATCTGAGAGTATGTGTTTGCCTTAATATGCCCAGATACTTTTTATCCTCTGGAGTTTGTCTATTGCAGCCGTCATAAGGTGTTGAGTTTCCACTCCCACCTAAATCTCCTCCCCTCCTCTGGCACTCTCTCCATCTGCTCCACTCCCTTCGTGGCTATTAGGAGGCGCTGCCTTCCTCAACCAATCACGTTGCACAAAGCATGTCTTACCAGTTGAATATTAACTGCTAGTAGACCGTTTGGAAACCTGTGCGATGTTTTCTATTCAAAATGTTGATCACACACAGATGCATCAGTCATGCATACTGTTGTGTTTCCATGGATAATCAGTGTGTGCTGAAATAAAATGCAGCTAAAGCAGTATCAGAAAAGACACACCAGAAAAGGAGCACAGGCAGAGGGGAGGAGAAAAGAAAACATACAATGCACAGGCTTCCTCAACAGCTGCAGCCCAGTTTTGAAATCCCCATCATCTTGTGACTTCCTTCCTCTGCTGCACAGAGCTGCAAATTCTGTGTGCACAAATACACACATACACACACCCCACACATTGTGTGCACACACTTCTAGCATACGCCAGGGTCTTTGTTTATCCAAAAAGGTCACACAAGAGATTTGTGGGGGCAGGGTGTATGTGTCGCTCAAGGTCTGTTGGGGAAAGAAAGAGAGAGATATTAAAGTTAAAGTGGTTTGCAATTGAATTATATCTCCCATGTTTAATTAATGTTATATTTTGTCTGTAAGACATATAAAGTAAAGGTGCCATGAAAGTAAAAGCAAGTTAAGCTCACAAACACGGAAAACAGAGTCTTGCCTTTTGTCTCTGTGCTCTCAGGTTTCAGTTTTTTTGGGAGCGGAACAAAAACAAGGTTAATCTCCGAGTGTGTGTGGGAGAGAAGAGTTTGCATAGCCAGTGTTTCTCAGGTCCACTCGAGCAGAGCTGCTGGTCTGGGTGTGAACACGGAAGGCAAACATTACCACGTCCCACAATCCTTAGCTCTTGTGCTCCGCTTGTGGAATTTTGACACAGAAATGCCAAAGGTCACAGCACTGGTTTATCCAAATTCCCCACAAGACCTCACACATGCCTTTCCGTTGTCAGTCCTAGATATTACAAATCTTACACGCTTTACTGTAACCTTGCACATAAAGTAAACAAACATGCAGATGCTGTATGAGTTACCACCACATGCATTCACATCACTACACTTCAAAACATGTACATACGTCTCATTAAAAGCAAATGAGATGTGAGCAAAGTCCGTCAGCGAACACCACTTAGCAGGGTTTTTTTTTTTTGCGAGTTGGCTGTCGTCCAGATCTTTCACACCATACCCCGCTGTACTGTTGCCAAAGCAGTTGTGGTGAAATTTTAACAGGTCCATCCACTGCAAAGCTAACTCTGTCTATCTGCCTAGACCTCAACAGACTGATAACACAGTTTACTCTGTCTTATCCTATCCCCGTTAAAATAGGTCAGGTTACAGCACAGAGCGAGCTCTGTCAACACATGCGCAAACTACTGTGCTCACACCCACACAATGAATGCTAACACATTCATTTTGCTCACACCAAATTAGCAGCGTTGCATGTTTACTTTCATGTTCACATATTATGTCTTTATGTCTGGCATACTTACACACATACATAAATATAGGAAGTACTCTTCTTAAGGTGAGAAACATGTGATAGACTTCATTTAAATCCCAGCACAGTACCGCATGTGTATGCTATGAATCAGTTGTGGTTATAGACAATTATAGAAACAAACCTTGAATGAAGGAACAGTCCCCTTCTAATTCAGGAGCTGTCACCCATAGACTGTAGGATATAATTGACACCACACTCTGCTCTCCTCCTGTGTGCGTTCTCAGATAGCAGACACCTACTCCATCGTGTGTAAAACCCAGAAGAAGAAACCACCTATGGAAAACAACGGAGCAAAGACCCTCCCACGCTCCTTTGGTGGAGAGAGAGGAAACGCAGGTTCAAGGGGCCGAGGCCGAGGAGTCCAGGGCCCGACGCGTTCCCAGGAGGAGCCCTGCTACGAGCCGGTAGGAGACAGGTCCTGGCCCACATGTGCCGTGGCCGAGTCTGACCCCGCGTATGCTACTATCGACACCCACCGGAAACGTGAGCCAGCAGGAAACAATAACAGCACAGTTGGGGGTAATGCCACTCTGAAGAGGAAGAAGCAGCCGCCGCAGCAGCCGACAGCCCCAACGGCACCTCAGGGCTCAGGACCCACTGCCCTGCCTGCTAGAGGCCTGCCTGGTGGGGAAAACTTCTATGAGACCATCAGCGATGTGAAACAAGGGGCCAACAGCTCCAGCACCACCACCATCTTCACTTTCAATGATGGGATGGAGATGTATGTCACTGGCCTGTAGCTGGCTGGCAGGCAGAAAGGGACCAGAACCCACTGGTACAGAGTCATGAAAGGGACCCTCCTGTTCACCGGCCAACAGGTTGCTGTACATAGGTAAAAGGCCCTCAATAGACAAACAATATGAGGATCCATTTTGTGATGACATCAGGTACAAACAGGGTCTTAATCCAGGTTCAGACTCCCTTGATTGGTCTGTACTTCAGAACCAGCCTAAGTCTAGTCCAGCCCATATATGGACCAAATATGTTTTAACTCAAAAAAAATTAAAAGATAAGAAAACTGGAATATACATCTTCAACCTACTGTGTCACTGACCATACTCACCTGTTTGTGCATCATTTTCCATAATATCTTTATTTTTATATGAACACTGTACTCTTTAAAGAGTATGTGGTGTAACTCACAACCTGAGAAGAACACACTTTAATATATATATAGATACAAAAATGTGCATGCATTGTGCAAACACACACCTATAAGTAAACAGTAGCAAGGAAACTTCGTTTGTTAGGAATATGAAGCCCACTGTTAGCTAATGCCAGCCACACACACACACACCCACACACACACACACACACACACACACACACCTCATCTTTGGGGGACTTATGTAATATAAGCAGATGGATGTCAGAGATTTGCGGTGCTTAGCTCTCCCTAAGCAAACATCTGAAACAGGTTCTCTGTGCGCACTGGCCTGTTGCCTGGCAGGCAGCATTGTGGTGCTTCGTTTAAACATAGGCCTGTAAGTCTATAGTTAGGCTTGTAGTAATAGTAATAGCGTAGGCTATAGTCCCCACTTCACAATTACCATCAGTGTGCCCTCAACAGTTATCGACATCCCTCATGATAACTATAAAAAGTGCGTTTTGATCAGTAATGTAACTTTCAAATAACATTACTTGACAATCTACAGTCAGATTTAACATCTGTAGCCAGAAGCATGATGACACACCTCAACACACCGACACACAGATACACACATACTTGGCAGAGTTATGCAGGGTAAGGCAATCAGGTCAGGGGCATTGAGTGGGTTGAGTAAGAATTTCCCCAGAGTGATATGGGTGACAGATTTCACAGTGAAAGACCTTTACTGTATTACCATAAATTAATATAATTTAAATGAAACAAGTGAGAGAAGAATATTTTCAAAAATAAGGAAGCGAAAGAGTGTCCAAAATAACACAGGATGCTTCATCCTGTGCAGTTAGTATGTCTTGTCCTTTGGGCGCTGTAAACCTCTGATTTTATGACCATTATAATTTTGCACTGGACAGCTGCGGGACTGGTCGGCTTAATTGTGCATTAACGTGCTGTAAAGGGCATTTCCAAGCACAGTTCTGATTCGCTCTCTGGTCTCAAGTCAAAGCCAGAGCTCCCCATAGCTCACCAGACTTAAGTCTGGTGGTTCAAATAGCTACAGAGGACTTGGAATCCAAGGAAAATAAAGAGCGGGGCAAAAAAAATTACCAGCTAGTGTCCTTTGGAAGGTTGCCCCTCGCCCTTTCCCCACCCGCGTCTCCAGCCCCAGCACTGAGTTCTCTTCCATTGTAAACAATGTCTTTCCCATGCAGCTTTGGGGAACATTAGAAAAGAAAGAAGAGAGGAAGAAAACAAATCATTGGAGGCTTAATAAATAGGCATAAAGATAAGAGGGGAAGAGGCATACAAACCCCTCACAGGCTGAGAGATGGAGGATGCATTAGAATGAGCTCGCTGGGAGACAACAATGCAAAGAGAAGACGGGTTTAGAAAAGTTAGTAATATAAATGTATAAATGCTACTGTGTCAGAAAGTATGTAAAAACAAATACACTCTGTATGTCAATGCACTGTTTGTTTTTCTCTTACCTACTGACAATACCATTGGTTGAATAGCTCATGCCACTGCCATGAAAACAATACATTTATGTTGTTGGTGCAATTTTTTCCTGCTTGATCAAAAAAGTGCATGCTTTTATATATGGAGATGAAAACAGATATTGTGGTACTTAATTGATCTCTTGTTTGTTAATCTTTTCTGTTGTACTTTTTTTGCCTTGTGATGCAAAGCAGCATTCCTTTTTTGTTGTTGTTTTGTTTTTACCAAAGCAACAACTTGTTGGAGGAGGATGAGGGGAGAGAAATAGAAAGACAGAGAGAAGCCGCTGGGAGTTTAGAGCAGAGCGTTGTTTATCCTCTGCTCTGGGGGAGCAAGAAAGAGCAATAGAGGTTAGGAGGGAGGAGAACAACAGCCAGAATAAAGCTGGATGAGGATCCCTGCAAATGGACACAGACCCAAAGGACCCTCCTCCTTCTGATGTGTTTGTGTGCCAGCACATACACACACACACACACACACAGCGGCACACATACACACTGCAACCTTGAGCCATGTGCGTTTCCAGTTTAGGGGAGGAAGCACATTTTGCTTCCACTTGGTCAGCCCTTGCATATATTCCCTCCCCCAGCTGTGTTCAACCACCAGTAACTGACACAGACCTCTCTTTTCTCTGCTTCACCTCTCCCCCTCGCTGTGCAGGGGAGGGGCCTTTGATGTCCAGTTCTGAGGGACTCAGGGAGTGATTTGAGGGGGGAGGGGCAGAGGACCCCAGTCAGATAATAACAATGCACCAATGGCTCAACTACTGCCTGATATGAGAAATGGCTAACAGCTGAGGCGCTTAACAAGCTCTGCTGAGGCTTCCCTTAGACAATGCTGGCTGGAAATCGCTATCACACTTAATCCTTCTTCCCTGGCTGTCACTTTATGTGTCACATTTTCTTTATCCTGAGAGAAAAGCACTGATCGGATATATTTTGTTGAACACTGTTACACACTGATCAAGACAGATGTTCATTGCACAAACGGATACAGTATGATGATGTAAATGTGTAAAATACTCTGTTGCTGTTCTGATGTTGTTCCAATGTAACATACAGTATATATGTTGACAAAAAAAAGATGGTTATCACAGACACATTGTTCTTTGTGGATGCAAAATGTTTCATGCTTTCCATGCAGATACAGATGCTGTTTGTTAATTGTCTTCAGATATAATCATGGGCCAATACTGCTGTGACAGCTGTAGCCAATGTTGTCTGTTCTTAAAGCACAGGGTTTAGTTTAAAAATAATAAATATAATAAAATATAGTGTGACAGTGCAGATATGCAAAAGATTGTAATGTTTTATATTAACCTTCATAAAATATTAAAGTGAGTTTTTACTTTTCTAATAAAGTGGCACATTATAATGTGTGTTTGTCTTTTGCCTGTAGTCTTGTGGTTTTGTACAGGGTATCAAACTAGGCAGCACTACAGCATCAGTTGTTAAGGCTCTGTAGCAGCCTCACTGTAGCTTGCAATGAATGCAGCTTTCAATAAAATATGTTTTCGTAAAAAGAAGCAATAACCAGAAATGTCTGGGCTCTTTAGGCTTTAGGTTAGATAGAGGCATTCAGGTGCCTCCAACAACTGAAATAAAAAGAAAACAAATGGCAATATAGCTTATCTTTAAATAATAACTTTTCTTTGATCATGTTTATGTATTCCACATTTCCACCAAGCACTACAGTTCGAGGCCATAAAGTACAATCAAGTAATTTATCAAACAAACCCCACTATCACCATAGATTTAAAACAAGTACAAATCTGTGATGGTCTAATGAAACTGAACCTTGCTTCAAAAACCTCAGTATGACTGCAGGGCTATCTTCTTCGAATGCATTATTTTTTGCACAGAGGTTGATGATATTATGTCCAGACACTATTCTATTCATTTTACATTATAACCAGGCTACATGATATGAATAGCTGACACTTATCTACTGATACAGGGGTTTATAACTTTATAACTTTGATCACGTGCCGCTGGTCAATCTGACCAAAGATGTTCATTTCATCGAGAATAACCCGCTTGTAAAGTACGGCTACGGAGTGAAATATGACCCACTGAATCCCCATTTGATTAGCAAAAAATATAAATGCGCAGTTTGCAGGTTGAGGCCTGCAGGGTGTTTCTCTGCTGCTCTCCCTAGCTTGCCTCGCAGACCGGCTCTTCGTCGTCGACAAACACCGGCCGGTAAACTGTAGACACGCCCCCTTCTCTCTTCCACCCACATTACTGGGATAAGAAAAACAAATGATTGACACACAAAAAATGGCCAATCACGGGCCGCCTCGCCGTGGACGCGTGCCAAAGTGTAATGTTTATGTGTGCAGCGGACCAATAGGAGTGAAGTGGAGGGGGCGTGGCATTCTTTTGGAGGAAAGAGGCAAAACAATCTTTTATCCTCCTGACCGGGCGGCTTTTTGGATACCCTCCTGGGTAGTGGTGGTGGCGGCGGCGGTGGAAAACTTTACATGTAGACTAGGGTAGAAGTTAAGACACAGGCAGTACCTATCACCTCGCGACAATCCTGATAAATGTATCTAACTCCAGCAATTTGCACTAAAATCTATAGAAAGCTGGTTTTCTTTCTTTAGTCTCCACTCGCCCTGTCTGACTATGGATTCCAGATATATGGTGGACAAATCGTCGGTTGGGACAAGGGTCGGTGGTGGGGATTTTAACTGCCGGGCAGGCCGCTCCGTGCTCCGCGACACCCGGGTCCCCACGGTAGAGACAAACAGTCCCGTGCTGGCGTACCAAAACGGGCCCATTCTTTACAAATTTGTAATGGACGGCGGCTCAGTGGCGGAGGTTAAAAGGGAGATAACCTCTCCTAAAGGGAACGGACTTTCTCCAGGTGGTCGAATATTGCACGACGTGGAAAAAGTAAGTGCAGTTTATCCGTGTTGAGAGTGTAACGTTACGCACGACAGTCAACTGTACACCCAAGTTACAACACGGATAATAACAAGCACGCTGCTTTAACCGTATCCTCTCATTCCGCTGTATAATGAGAAGTTTGACAGCTTACATCGCTCTCACACGCCCATATTACAGTTTAATGGTTAAAATGTGCGATCGTGAAGCTCACGCGAGACTGCAACTACTGTATATTGTGTACTGAGCACCGCCTTTACTAGCGTTACTCTTTACCCACTTTTTAAAAAGTGTCAGTCATTTCATCTACTACTTTCAACGCTTGATACGTGAGCAGTTTTGTCGTATCATAAGTGCTTTAAATGGCGGCTCATTTTGTGTACAAAGTTTACAGAAAAGGGAGGGCAGGGACTTCAAACTACTAACCAAACCCACTCCCCCATACTTTTAGGGTGGAGCTACAGCGTCGGCTTCCTGGCTGCGCAGCACGTCCTGGCTCCTCGCACACTGTTAGTTGACTAGTACTTGTTAGCAGGCATGAGATGTGTTTTTCGTGTTAAAACTTGCACTGCATGTATGCTTCTGCTTTGCATTTTCAGCATTTTGTGGCCCGTGGGTGTTTCTCTCTGCAGGGCCAGTAATTTAATCATGTCATATAGTTACTACTTGACCCTGCAACATCAAATATGCATAGATGGCGAACTGCCACACCTACCTTTTGAAATGGATCCGATTGCATTTTTATTCAAATAAGTTAAGTGAATTGCTTTGTATGTTTATTATAGCATATCAGTGTGATAAAGACAGCTAGGCATGAACCTAAGCTTTATTGTAGGCTATTTACATTGTAAACTCGTACTTTTTTTGAGCTGCAGAGTAGTGAATTCGTTGTCACATGTGACAGTAAATTAAATATATTTAGCTTTTGGACTGTTGTTCAAAACATGCAAATGGAAAGAATTATACAATGGTCAATTACATATAAAATAATCGGATTAATCGATAATGAGAAGAATCGTTAGTTACATTTGATTTTATTGTTATGTTTCTCATTTAAGGTGTTTTCCCATTTTCAGTTGGGATAGAATAAACTTTTACACGCAACAAGTCATTCGATCAGTCAATCAAAATATAATATTATAGCTGTAACCTCCTTCATCACACTTGCGTCACATTTTGTATTTATTTGCCAAGTGTTTTAGCATTACATGGCTAGGTGAGACCCCAGTGTTGCCAATACTTTTTGCGTCATTTCCAAACCTTTCAAGAGATGTTTAAAAAGGCATAAGACATGGAAATTTTAGGGGTTTTGTTGCCTTTGTTCTGGTTGGTTCCTGAAGGTTCATGTGCTGTGCTAAATAACAACATCCTCTGCGTTATTAATGGGGAGGAAGATTCAAATGAAAGATTTAAGAAGTTGATTTTTTGTCGATTTGTGAAGACAAATAGTCAAACCTGAAGAAACACAGCCATGCTGATGAATTCACCTCGGTGTTTCTGTGATCCATCCAGTTGGAAATCTGTGGTTTAAAAAACTCAAAGAAAGCCATGCAAAGTTAATATGTGTCACTAGTGAAGCTTCAAAATGATAGATTGACTTTAATGTGTTACTGCTTCATTTTCTAGACTGGCCTGGGGGACCAAAAAGACACTGGTCTCACTGGGATCTTGAAGAGGGCCAGTCCAACTCACTGCCCAGGCATGAACGGGCAGCTGCCAGGCGGCTTCATGCACTTAGACATCAGGAACCCAGGGAAACAGGCAGAGCTGGCCAACAACTTCAGGGCAGCACAAGGGCGGAACGTACCATCGGCAGAGAGTCAGCCCCTCCCCTCCTGCCACATCCCTGTCCCCAGAAACAGGTACGGAGAAGCTGACACCTACAGGAATGAACTACTGTTGTATCTTTACATTCTTTTGTATTTTATTCATAGTGATGCATCTGAAATGAAGGGCACATCACTCATTTGATGTGATTAAAACTTTGGCTTGGCATCTAAACATGAGCTTTGGACAGATGTGTAAGCAACCCTAGGATCCTGGCACATTGTTAGCTATTAGACTTATTTTTTGCGCGTATGGCTCTTGTTCTATTCAGCCCAGTCCAGGAGCTAGTTTGAGTGAATGTGTGGTGATTAAAAAATAATCAACATAGGCATTTTTATATTTTACTGCAAAGTTGTATTCCTTAACAAAGTCTTGAATAGAAGTGGAATTCACCCTCTGGCTACAACTGTACAGTGGTTTGGGCATGAATGGTGTGGGGGCGTACTGGTCATCTGACCACATGTTTGGTGTTCCATCCAGAATAGTTTCGAAATATGACCTGAGAGAGCCAGAGCAAGAGATGAGGATTGCTCAATCACTTGATAGAATGAAAAGAAATAGAAAGAATGGGATAGTTACACTATGTTGGTGTTGTTTATTGATAAATCAGTGAACTGCATTGCTATATATAACTACTGTAGCTACAGTTTTTACTAATCAGGCCTCTCAGTGTCTTGCTTGACTGTTTCTAAGCTCAGTGCTATCCATTGGCCCTCTTTTGGCAGGCCAGGCTAATGGAAGTATCAGTGTGATTTGCTCGCGGTGTGTCACAGGCGTGAAGATGAGCTTTGAGTGGGTTTTGTTTGATGTGCAGTGCCGTGATTTTTGCAAACCATTGTTCCACATCATTTTCAAACTCAGACACATGCGCATTTGTGCTCCGGACATTTTTGTGATTGTTCTAAGGCAAACTTGCATGCACATACAGACTGTTTCACACAGGAGAAGCAGAAAATGCATCCAGGGCACTGATAAGTGTTTATGCAACAGTAAAGAGGACTGGGAGAGGCTGTAGGCGGCGCCTAAGCACTCTTTCCTTCATTTTACACAGCTATTGGTTACGGTCTGTGTCAAGATGCTGCCTGTCTGTCAGAATGCGATTACACATTAACAAAAGACCCGTTGGCAGTACAGTACTACAGCTCTTCATTAAATCTGCATGGAAACACTTTTTCTGAGCCTCTGTATGAACATTTATATATATATATATATATATATATATATATATATAAAAGGCTATTATAATTTTAAACATAGATTGTAAACTGATTAAAGTCCATCAACAGAACAGCTTTCAACAGCTGTGAGTGTGCTTGATAGTAGGCATAATGTGTCAGGATTTGGGGGTTTAAAAGCCACACTTAACTCATCATCACATGAACTTCACGTGCCGCTGGTCATGTATGATGGGAGGGAGTGTCTCCGGGGATCATGCAAGAGTGAACATGCTTTTAAACCAGAGTGAAGTTGTAACTACTTCTTTGTGAGTGTGTACTCGAGTGTGTATGCCCACTACAGGCAACAAAGCAGCTGCTCTCACCTTCTCGATCCAGGTCTTAACCAAATTTGAAACATCTCTTTTCCACTGCATGTTGACGGCTATAACAAACTCTTGAGTTGACACTACACAGCCGCTTGAAAGAGGTTGCATAACATTATATAACTGTGTGGTCATATTAGCCAGGCCTCTTTGTTGCTCCACTGACCTTTCCCTGTCTTTACCCAGCTCAAATTGGCTTTTGTTTTGCAGTTGGTGACAAGAGGTGCTCCTCTCCTCTCTCACCATGAAACAAGCATTAGCCATTATTCACATTTTATTTTAACCCATTTGAATATTCAATCCAGATGCATGTGCATGTGGTATTCATCAGAAATTTATAAGAGTAGTTTGAAAATGCACTACAGTTGCCATGTGAACCCACTAATGGTAATTCAGTGTGAACAAACAATATAACTTAGTGAAATCCAAGTTACATCGTTGTGCTGTTTTTGTTGATTCTACTCAAATCCACTTTTGGACTGCAGTATGAGGCGCCTATTTTTCTCCAAGTAATGGTCCCAGTGGTGAGTTTGTCCTTGTCATCCCAGTATGTGTCCACATCTGTGTATGTGGGTGTGACCCGTTGTGCATTTGCAGCATTCTGTGCCCTGCTTTGGATAATGTCAACAAAAACCATTTATTTTCATTTAGCTCCCTACCAGCTTAGGTAATACCGCCATTGTGCTACAGGATTAAATATGTTTAAAGAGACCAGCGCTATAAAGATGTTGCTCCCCTGTGTGTGTTTTACGTCAACCACTGTATCAGTCAGCATATTGTTTCTCAGGTACAATTTCTTACTTTCACACCTTGTCTTGTCAGTTTGCAAATGCTGTAAAGTAGATCACACAACCCTTCAGACAAGCCCGGGCAGAGATCCTGCAGGAAGAAAGAGGAGGAACCAACGCATTCACTGGCTCACACATGTGCATATTCATCCAAACACATTCAAACCTACACAGTATGTTTAAACACTCCCGCCCATCTTGTTAACCTCGCCTCTATGTGTGTGTCTCTCTTTCTCTCTCTCTCTCTCTCTTTTCCTTGTTCTGCCTGTGATTAAGTCACTTACACCCTAAAGCCGAGCTCGTTCTACCTGTCAATACTCATCAGCGTGGGATCTAGCGCACTGATAACGGAACAAAGACCCGTTTGAATGAGCAAAAAAAAAAAAAAAAAAAAAAGAGGTCTGACGAAGGGAAGAGGGGAGGGGGCATTTTGTTTTGATGTGAAAAGCTTTTCTTTCTTATCTGTCCTTGGTCAGGTACACTGTCACCACAGTGGAGTGACATGAATAGAAAACACTGAGTCCGCATAAACAAGACACCAGAGCAACCAACTGCAGTGTGGGTGGGTAGGGGGGGGCTCTGTTCCCAGTCTTTGACTCAGCCTGGTAAGAGTCACCAGGAGGGTTTAGGCAAGCAGACAGGCAGACTGGAGCAATCCACCACCTCTCCATTCCCGTCTGACCATCCCCACCACCAGTCCTCTTCTCCCAAAGGAGACATTACAGCCAGTTGTTGAAGGTCAGAGGAACAGATATCCGCCCCCACTCTTGTCTGGGATGTCTAACCCACATTCAGACTGCTGACATGGCATTGCGGGTGGAACCGCCAGATTCTTCTCAGGTGTTTGTTTTTTGTTTTGTATTTCATATTTCCATATAAACCGTATTTGCCTAAAATATGTGTTTAGCGGGTCAGTATTGGCATTTCTTCTGAATTTGATGCAGCACTTTCATCCTTTCATCCTCGTAGCCTTTTTTTTTCTCCCTTCCAGACCACAAGAGGTTTAAGCTCTTGCACTGCACACATGCAGGTGTGAAAGGTCGTCCTAGTTGAATGCAGTCATGTGAGAGGGGAGAGGGCCAGATCAGGGAGCGAGCAGGCACCTGGCATGTCCGCTAGGTCAGCCTCAGGATCTGGGTCATGTGCTGCATAGACAGAAGATTGTAGCAGACAGCTCATCATCTTACACTGCAGTTTTACCGTCTCCTGCCTAAGATGTATGGGGGAGTGAGGACCTAGTATCAAAGGAAAAAAAAGAAAAAAGGTTTTATTTGATCTGTGTTTCCAGGATGCTTCTCGCTCTGAATCATTCATTTTTTAACACTAATGAAGGCCTCTGGAAGACTCTCCGGCTGTATGTACAATGCCCAAATAAGACATTAATCATCTGCTGCTATGTGGTGAAGAAGAGAAGCAAAATCTATTTCATGAGTGAAGAGGAGAGTAGTAGGCATGTGGGAATGTTTTCTGCAAATGGTCTGCTCTGTTGCAAAAGTAATGCTTCGCAGACAAAGTTAGAAGTGGTTTCAAAATATAATGTGTCAATTATATTTACATTTGTAAGCCCTCAAAATCTTTTTCATGTCTGATAGTGTATATGTTGGTTGTATACTGTACAGCTATCCTCCAGCAGGAAGCCTTAGGGTCAGGGAGAGAAAGTAACACTTATCAAGAGGGAAGGAAACTCCTGTTGCGCAGCTCTGGCACCGCTGCAGTAGAATGCTTTATCGCTTGCTCACCCAGGCTAATAGACACTTGGGCCTACATAAGGCCTGCCTCAGTAGCATTTGGAGATGTCGCGGTCTTTCCCCTCTCCTCAGTCTTGTGTTTCTGTCCTTCTACCCCCAGTCCTTCTACCAACCAGCAGCTGCTCTGTGGCTGTCCCGTCTGTCCACCAGCCTCTCAGAACATCCTGTACCGAACTGTTATATATATATATATATATATATAGATATAGATAGATAGATAGATATAGATATTTTTTTGCCTGAGATGTAGGAACTTTTTCTGCTTTGGAAAATGTTCCTGCCTCCCTCTTTTTTTGCGTGTTATCTGTTCCATACATCCTATTTTCCGTTTCTGTTGGCCGTTAACTTTCTGCCCCTTTTATATGAAGGACGGCCGGTTAATCCTGCTCAAATCCAGAGGAAATGATGCCCTCTGAGTCTCTCTCTGCCAGGAAAGCTTATTTTATACTCAGATAGAAAATAATGTCATTTTAATCTGTCTGTCATGTGTTTGTCTTGACCTTTTCGCTCTTTTTATTTTTCTTAAACACTCATAAACACACACGTCTTCAGCATGTATGTGATACTTTTACTGCATTGTTGTAATTTTTACTACTTTTCAGTGGCTGTATCCATTCATAAGGTAGGGAAAAGATAGCATACTCATCACTGGAATGTTCACAATGTTTCTTTTGGCACCGAAAATGCAGATCCTCAGACAAGCCGAGGGTTGATTTTGGTTAGAAATATTTCTTCACAAGTTCAAAGCTTCATTTTTCTTAAAATCATACAGACTGATCAGATAATAAAATTATACATTTAAACTGTAGATTGTACAACAAAGCTAATCTTTCCTGTTTTATTGCTTGTAACTGTGGCAGTTTAATCGGCAGTTCACAGTAGGAAAATCATCTGAATGTGCTGTGTAATGCTCCAATGAATATGCAAATGACTTCCAAAACCAGATCCTTGGTGGCTGAGAGTAAGCCTTTTAAAGTCTGAAGTAAGTGTTTTCAAAATGTTCTGTAAGCCCTTAGTTTCATGGGTTTTGAATTCTCCTGCTCACTTATAAATATCTTCACACACACACACACACACACACACACACACACACACACACACACACACACACACACACACACACACACACACACACACACAGTCTTGCGCAACTCTATCATAAATCATCCCAGTCTGCTGATGACAAGCAGTGAAATTCAGTCCATATTGCAAAGAGAAGTCTGAGGAACGCCTAACACATTGTACGGTGCAGAGCTGAATGGCCTGCATCTGTTTTAATGTCTTTGCTTTTTAATTAGTGCTCAGCATTTAGTTGAATATGCTTTCTATTCTCTTTCTCGGGTTTTTTAGTCTTCTTTCTCTCTTAGGAAATATCTAAAATACGTTTCTCATTCAGACTACTTTCTCCAATAAATATTTAGCCAAGTAGGTTTTGTTTTCTGTGCCGTTTGTCTGTCAGAAGGATCATGGAAAAACTACTGGCCTGATTTTTTTATCAAACTTAGTGAAGGGTGTAGTATGGGCCAAGGAGGAACCCATAAAAATTTGGAGCAGATCCAAATCACGAGGCAGATAAACAAATAATTTTTCACTTTTGTTAACATTGTCAATAGGTCAATAGTAACACAGATGTCTACGGCAGAAAGGACGAAGGTACCAACCCGTTGTAACTAAAATGAATGGTGTGCCGCCACTAAACATACAACAAAACATAACAGCCACCTCAAACATCGCTTTAGAAACAAACAAATGCAGCAGTTATGCAGCACATCCCAGATTAGCAATCAAAGATGTGATTTTTCCAGATTATGGCGCTATGTAGGACATGAAAATACAGCGCTGGCTGAGGTTTCTGACTGCATCCCGAGGAACGTCAAATGTCTGCAATCTAACTTGTAATTAAAGGAATATCGACAGCCCCGTCTTTTAGTTTAGCTGTGGAAGAGAGCCATACTGCACTTCTAGCAATCCAATTGATTTTGTGTTGACACAGTTAAGTAATGTGAGCATTGACCTTTCAAAATGCCTGGGCCTGCAAGGGATTGGGTAAATCAAAGTGTGAATAAAAAGCCCAAAGCTCTGAGCAGATTGAACGGCTACAACACAGTTAGCAACTTCATTCAAACCCATTTAAAA